TTATGTTTTTCTTTTCCGAAATGCGTTAAAAAATTATTTGTGAAAATTATTTTGCAATAAAAATAAAAATTTTATTAAGAGAAAAAGACACTTGTTTTAATAGTATTGTATTGAAAATTTATCAAAATGATCAACATCATTATCAATATTATCATTCATGTACATACCGTAATTTAATTTTACATCACAACGCTGTGATCGTTTGCAAGTGTAACTCTTTTCATCGCTCACTGTTCGTCTGTAATAATTATTGATATTGCTATTTGATATAGTAATTTAAAATGTGACAGTATATCACTGAAATTTAAGCAATATAATAATGTTAATCATAATCAGATTTCATCTGTACTGTACATGGGATGAATTTAGTAAGAAAATCCGATTGCAAGAATAATACAGCAGAAATGAAAAAGATTAGTCTAAAATTTAATAATTTTAATGAAAATACAATATTGATATAATCAAATATTTTGAAGAAAGCAAAGAAAATTAAATAAGAAATTAAAAAAAAAATGTTGCATTATGAATATTAAAAGTGACGAAATGTTAAATATTTAAAATAATGAAATATTAAAATTTATCATTTTCTAAAACTGATAAATAAAAATTACATTATTTGAAATTTAAAAAAAAAAAAATGAAAAATCAATTAACCGGAAAAATGCAGCACAAGCGGCACATGTTTTAGCTCCAAAATGCAATCCATTGGAAGCGGCAGCGAGGCAAACCTGACAGAGCTGTTCATTGGTTGTTTTCCGTATTGCTACTGGTGGTACTGTTTGTAGTGTTGATTGTTGTGGTACGGAAGAAATTGGCAATGCATTTGATGTATCAAATGGTAATAATGAAGAGCTGAAAATTTTGAACATTAAAATTTAAATGATTTCTTACTCAAACTTATAATAAAGCATTATCATTTATTATCATCATAAATTAGCAATTTAACATTTTGTTTTCTTATTTTCTCTTGCATTAATATGTTAGCATGTGGAACAAAAAAAGAAATCTGCTGAGGAATGCAATAAAGTGATAATTGATGAAATTAGGGAAAGGCTAGCTTTTCAGATATCAATGAAGAAAAAAAAAAGCTAGCTGAGTTAAAACAAAAAGACTGCAAAATCAATTGAAATAATATTGCAATCTTCAAAGAATAAATTGAAACAAAACTTGGAAAGTTTTTGAAATTAATTTAATTTAAAGTGATGATGAAAAAGTTTTTAAATATTACAAATATTCATTTATGATTTCTGATTTTTACATTGTGAATGGAGCGATTAATTGTTATCACAAACATAAAAACATATCCACAATCGAGATCTTTCAATTGTTTGCAATTGCTAGAGTTTAACAATCTCAACAATGTATTTTATATTTTAACTTAATAGAAAGTAACGGGGATACTGTAGTTGAAAAAACGTAGGTACTGTAGTCTGAAAATGTTTAACTGAAATACGGAAAATTCAAAAAGAATCCATCAGAGCGAAACTTCTCATAATATTTATCTAAATGATAGAGAATTTGAGGAATTTGAGAAAAATTTGCGATAAAAAAATTTTAAAAATGAACAATTTATTTGTATGGATATTTGATTAATTATCTTTGTTTTTGTTGAGAAAATAAATAATGTAAATTTAATGGTTATCATTTTTTTTTTGTTTCATAATTTATTGCTGTTTTTTTTTTTAAATTAATAATATGCCAAAGGAAATCATTTAATCATTTACTCAATAATAATTACTATGTAATTTTATTTGATTCATTGCAATACGTTCCATTGAATAATCAAATGATTATCTTACTCTTTTTTATTTATTTATATTTTGAAACTGAAATTCTTCAAATTTGAAAAAATTTTTTATTTGTAAAAATATAACGTTAAAATTACATTTATTATTGCTAAATGATGATGATGCTTAAACTTTTTAATACTATACCTTTGTTGTTCGGATGAAAGCCTTGTTGATAATGGTATGGTAAAATCTTTAACAGTACAAGGATGCGAGTTTGGACAAATTGGTGCAGCTGTTGTTATCATTTGTCGAACTGGTAAACTGGTAAGAGTACTACTAGAATCCTAAAATAAGCTCGTATATTTCAATTTTTGCAAAAATAAAATGTTAGACGAAAACTTTATTTGTTTTTCCATGTTCATTTTGGGAGACGATTGCAATATAAAAGGATGATATATGCAGAAATTAATACATTTAATACTGATAATGTTAAAATGTTGAATGAGGCATGTGATTAGCCCTATGATAATAGTTTTTATATTTAATTGCTTGGCATGAAACAGATTCTTATCAGCATTCTTGTAGCATTTATAACGTATGTCCTTCTTTTATGCATCAGCATAAGTAATCAAACTGATCGTCATCGTTATCATAAGTTATTTTAATAATAATTTACATGGCAATTGAAAATTCCCTTCATTAGAGAAAAAAAATCAATGAATGAGTGATTTGCAATCAAATAAGCCTCTAAATACTAGCTTTTTAAATTTTTAGTTAAAATTCATAATTATTTAGCATTAATTAAAATACGGTATTAAATAGAGTACCGAAATCTGTGATAATGGTAAAATGCAATGTGGTCCAGTGAAATTACTGTTAACAGTTTGTCTAATATTAGTGCAAAATGTTGGATCATAATCCCAAAATAAAAACGATGATGTGGTAGCATCACGTATCGGATCACGTACAACTGGAATCGATGCACTTTCAATATGATGATGGTATTCATCATTTTGAGACAAAGTGAATCCACGTTGCCAAATATTTCCACAATTCCTATTATCCATTTCTTTCTTAACTTTTTTTTTTGTTGTTAAAATTTCGAATTTTCCTCAATCTGAAAATTTCATATTTAATTAAAAATGTTTCGTCAAAAATATATCCATTTATATTTCGTACATTTTTATCAATTATAGTTATTGAAGAAAAATATATTTGAATGTATAGATACAAAAAGTTGGATTCATAAAAAATGCAATGTATTGTAGTAATACTAGTACACTTATGCTTCCAATTAGCGGCATATTGAAAGATCAATATATTTGCTTTAATTAATCAAATAAATTCATTTTATTAACAAAGAGAAAAAAATTTTTTTAAATTTAAAAAGAGAAAAAAAAACTACGAAATTCAAATTTAATGATTGTAAATAATGAGAAATAAAAAAAGTTATTTGATGATGTTATAAAGAAGCGAAAATGATTGAGATATGATGCCTTAGTAACATATTGCAAATCTGTTAGTTGTTATGCTTTAGCTAGTATAGTAAGGTATTAGCTGTTGCTATTATTAGCGATACGCAGGTGTTAATGAAGTTACCTTTAATTATGCAAAAATATAGCAATAACATGATAACAAAGCAAATAAATAAATGTGTCAATTATAAGTATGAGAAATTAGTTAGGGAAAGGTGCATTTCTATGGGAATATATATGAAAGCGATTCATAATCAAATATATTTGTCTATATCGCTTATTTCACAAATATTACTTCTTTTTAATTAGCAAAGGTGTATATGATTTTCTAACATATGTTTACAGTATGTTTACATATATGTTTCTGAGTATATATTTAAACAATTCTATCTAATCTATCTAATCTATCTATCTATCAATCAATCAATCAATCAATCAAT